GAACCAGGGACTAATATGACATAGCAGAAGATTCACAATCAAAATAAGCTTTAAAAAAAGCATTTGCTAAATTATGATCGTCAAATACAAGTTTCAATATTAAATCATTAAGCATGGTGACAATGCGCGCATACAACAAATTTAAAATATATAACAGGTGTCCTCAAGATGAATTTGGTTTATGCACAGATGAAAACCAATGGAGAATATTTACCTTACTCATGTTTGTGCTTTTCTCATCCCTTTCAGAGCATAGCACCAACGAACTGAGATTAGCAATTTTCTTTGCTTGCTCTGCTAGCCTCCTCTCACGATGAGCTCTGTCTTTCTTTTCCTCTTCCAACTCCAGAGCTATTCTCTCTTTCTCTAGCTCACTCTAGAATTACCTCAACTTAGTAAGTCAATGCTACAAAATTAACATGGGAACAACCAAATCAGAACAAGGCAGGCTATCACTGACCTTCAATAGTGTGTTTCGAAGGTTCAAGATTTCTTCCTCGAAGTGGGCTATCACTGACCTTCAATAGTGTGTTTCGAAGGTTCAAGATTTCTTCCTCGAAGTGCTCTGAATGAGAGGTCTAGGCACAAAACCATAAGTGTGTTTCGAAGGTTCAAGATTTCTTCCTCGAAGTGCTCTGAATGAGAGGTCTAGGCACAAAACCATACAAAACAATTGATGCTCTTAGTGAATAATAAGAAGCACATTCTGGAGTGATCATAAGAAATAAAATACAAACCATCAATTTTGCTCGAAGCTCCTCAATTTCTTTTCTTTGCCTCTTTAGCAAGGCAGCATCAGTCAAAATCTGTTTATTAATGCACAAACATTTAACCAACAAGCTTCACAAACTAACAGCTATATGCATCAAATCCACACATGTCAAAGCTAAATATACTCGACATGTTTAGAGAAACAAAATAAGAAAGAACACCTCGTTCACGCATGCACAGTTTGTAACATGTAAAGCTCTGCTTGCAAACTGGAGACTGCTCTTTGTTTCATCTGTATGAATCTGCCATAATAATCAAACCACGCCTCATTTAGTTCAAAGTGAACAGAATTTTCAATTACAAAATAATGAAGTGGAAATAGTACACTTCTTCAGCGCGTAGCAATTATTAGGTCTTAGATTCAAAGAACAAGTATTCTATGAACCTTAGAAGAGATGTTATTGATAGTATTGTCAAACTTCAACTGTAATATATATCTGTGTGCATGCCTATGCCAGGGTGATTATAGAGAATCAGTGACTATCATCTAGTGTATGCATACAATGGGATGTGAATGCACAAGTCTATGATCTGTAGAAACTTGATCCCATTAAAAAAACTAGATGTTTATCTCTATACTCATATCCCAGCCATTAGTTAAATTAAAATGAATCTAAGAATACATAATAAAAAAGTAATGTCTATTGTATCATACTTCCTTTAAAAGTGGGAGTTGTGAAAAAACTTTCCATGGACAAGAGTACCCATATTCTTTTTTAATATTACATTCTAATCCTAACTAAACTAAATTAATTATCATTATTAATTAATTATATTATATGCACCTTGTCAATTTGTATAACTTGGTCACTAAAACTTCCGATGTTACTATGAACTGGTCAACTTAAATCAAGAATCCAATCAACTAAATATATTTATTTAAAATATTCCATAAAAAGTAACAAAAAACTTACAAACAACCCCTAAAAATCTAATAATTAGAAAAACATGCTGAAAAAAATTAAAAATTACAAAAAACACATGGAATATTAGAAAATTTTCAATTGTCCAAGAAACAATCAGTAATTACATAGGACACCCTAAAAAGTTTAAAACTACAAACAGACCCCCAAAAAATTTGAAGTTATAGAGAACACCAAAATAATAAAAAATTACAGAAAAAAACTAAAATTAAAAAAATTATAAATAGTCCTCAGAAAATTTGAAATTTTAAAAAAAAAACACCCTAGAAATCCTAAAACTTTAAGAAACACCCTAAAAGCTAAAATCTTTTAATCATCACTCTGATTAATTTGAATAAAAAACCACTAAAATTTTAAAAATGATAAATAAGCTCGAAAAGTCTTCAAAATTACAAAATAATGCCCTAAATAATCCAAAAATTAAAAAAATCTAAACTATGATATCTTTGATGAGCCCTGAACAATTTGAAATAAGAAAGCCCCACAAAAATTTTAAAAATTATGAAAACCCCTATGAAACATCTGAAAATTGCAAAGGAACCCCCCAAAAAATATGAAAATTTTAGAAATTATAAATAACTACTCAAAAATCAAAATTGCAAACAAGCTCCTAGAAAGACCAAAATCTAAAAAAATCACCCTAAATCCAAAAATATCAAAACATTAACTCTACAGTTAAAAATTCTAATGATTCCCAAACAATAGAATTAGAAGTAGTTTTAAATTTTTAAATTTTAGAATTGAATTCTAAAAGTTGAAATCAATTTCTTGAATCCAAACACAACCTTAACGAACTTAACAAATTCCCCTGACATTTAAAGAATTTTGAACAAGACTCCTCTAAAACTTCATTATCTCTTTGAACAAAGGGTAACAAATGCTGAAAGTTTTCAAGGGGAGGTCTCTTTGGGCAGGTTACATGTTCACATGACATTTGAAGAATTTTGAACAAGACTTCTCTAAACTTCATTAACTCTTGGAACAAAAGGAGGCAAATGCTACAAGATTCCAAGGGGAGCTCTTTTTAGGTGGGTTATATGTTCATCATTTCTTTGGGATCATAGCTTTTTCTAAAATTGCTCTCATTGTCAACTGTGTATGTACATTCTTACACCTTGAGCGATACCGTGTTTTTCACTGACAGGAGTTTTGCTACAAGGGTAGAGTATCTCTCAAAGTTTAAAAACTTACGTAGAGAGGTCAAAGCTTTGATACCTTTTATGTTTTAGGGAAGATGTTGGTTTTCCTAAATAATGTTTGTTGAATTTAGCATAAAAGTGTGATGTACATATTTTACGAGAACATAGTTTTTTGCAAATTATTTACCTATATTGAAAATCATATTAGTTTTTTGTATTAAAAATTAATAACTTCTCAATATATACTTTTTATTGTTCTTAAACTAATATTTTGTGTATTATTACCGAACTCCTTTGTTGGTCTCATGTGAATTTTGTTAAGTATGTATTCAATATGTACTTCCCATCACGTTATGCATTTGCTATATGGCATAACATGTTCAAAAAAGTACATGTCAGAACATTTGATGTCTGTTAGATCAAAGTTCTAATATTTGGAATGACATAGTTAAACTGAATGCGATAGCAAGGTTGATATCAATCTACAAACTGTTATTATCATCGAGTAACAAAGCCTCTATCCCAAAATTTTGGATCGGCTACACGAATCCTATTCTTTCATTCCGTTCTATTATGAACCATCTCCTCTATTAAGCTAATCATAACTATATCCTTCTTAATAGCGTCCAACCATGCCCTTCTCCATTTTAAAATTTGCGGCTATAGTACACATTAACTATAATATTATCACTCCTCCTAACTGGTGCACTAAAAAGTCAATATTATACATGGTCAAACCATCTTAATTGATTATCTCTCATTTTATTCTTACTAGAAGCAATATCTAATTTACTATGAATGCATTTATTTCTTATCTTATTTTTTAGTGTATACTCACAAAAAACATCTTAATTTCTGCTACACTCATTTTTCGCACAAATTTTTTAATTGCCTCGTATTCTAACCCATAAAGCATTGTTGATTTTATGACTGTTTTATAGAATTTTCTTATAAATCTAATAGGTATTCTACAATCACACAAGACTCGTGAAGCACTTCTCCATTTTAATCATCCTAATTTAATTTGACTGACATCATCCTCAATCTCACCATCATGTCGAATGATTGATCCTAAAAAGCAAAATTACGTTTAGATATTTCTTGACCATTATTATGTAATATAAGCTCTCCTCTCCTTCTAGTTCACTACAATGCATTCCATGTATTCTGTTTTCGTTCTACTAATTCTAAAACATTTGGTTTCAAGAGCTTGCCTCCACCTTTCTACTTCAGAAATTATGCATGTTCTAGTCTCGTTAATTAATACTATATCATTAGCAAATAACACACAACAGGCACTTCATCCTAAATATGTCTAGTAACTTAGTTCATAACTAAAGCAAAAAAGATAAGGGCTTAAGGTTGACTGTTAACGTAAATGTATGATTATTGAAAATGACTTGGTCTCTTCATCATTAGTGCTTACTTTAGTTGTTAATCTATTATATATCTTTAATCACATCAACATACATACTAGATATGTATCTTTTTTAAAACCCATCACAATACCTCTTTAGGCACTCTATCATAAGCTTTTCCAAGATCAATGGAACCATATGTAGATCCTTTCTTTGTTCTTTATATTTCTCCATTAGGCGTCTCAAAATTTGTATAGGTTCCATCGTTGATCTCCCAAGCATAAAACCGAATTAATTTTCAGTAAGGTTCTCGATAGCGTCGCATAGCGGTAAGGCACCGCTAAGGCTATGTGTGCCCATAGCAGCAAAATAGCGGCAAATAGCGTATTGTCAAATAGCGGTCTAATTTAAATATATTTAAACATCCTAAAAAGTAAGAAAATTATAGAAAAAACTAAAAATTCTACAAATGTATGTTTGACGATTTATAAAGATCCTAAGCATGATATAGATGTGTAACAATTGCATAAAATTAACAAAGTACTATAATGAATAAAAAAGGAGTTAGGAGGAACAGGGCTTCGTCAAGGGCGGGCAAGGCTTCGTTGAGGAGATGGAGCTCGTCGAGGGTAGGGCTTAGTCGAGTTAATGGAGCAGAGGCAGTTGAGGATCTAGAGGTCGTTGAGGGTATGCCTTTGTCGAGGAGTTGGAGAGAGACAGTTGAGGCTCTGCAGAGGAGGCGGAGGAGGCGACCAAGTAGTGGAGGGAGGCAGCAGAGCTGGGGAGGGAGGCACCGTCGAGAGGAGAGGAGGCAATGGTAGGGTTAAGGTTTTTTAAGAAAGAGGCTGAGAAAGAGGTGAAGGCAGTTGAACTCAAAAGAGAATGAGAGAGTGGGTTTTATAAGTTAGATCAGATTTGGGCTTAGTTCGAGTCGGGTTTTAAAAAAGGGTTAATAACGCTCAAATGTGCTTTTAAGCACTATTTACCGCTTTTAGGCGCTATTTCACACTTTTCTCTGCTATTCTTTAAGCACTATTTACCGCTTTTGAGCACTATTTCGCGCTTTTCTCCGCTATTTGAAATGTATAGAGGTCTTCGACGCATTTCCTCACCGTTAGGGCCAAATCCTCGCAGGAAGGGGCCACTAACGCAAATACGGACACAATTGTGCTTCAATTGCCTCCTAGTAGCAACACTGATTTTCAAATAAACTTGTCTCTTTTCTTAGTCTTTGCTCAATTACCCTCTCCCAAAAGTTTCATAGCATGACTCATGAGTTCAATATCATGATACTTTGAACAACTTTGTATATCTCATTTACTTTTGTATATCGGTATCAACGTATTAATCCTCCACTCATTAGGCATTCTCTTTGTCTCAATAATCTTATTAATAAATTTGGTCAATCATCCTAATCCTATATCTCCAAGACATTTCCAAACTTCAATAGGGATATTGTTTGATCCTGCGGCTCTTCCACTTTTTATTTTCTTTAGAGCATCTTTAACCTCATTGATCCTAATTTTCCAACAATATCTACAATTTCTATCATTCACTATATGATTAAATTATCTATGTTGCTCACCTATTTGGTTATCATTAAACAATTGATGAAAGTAACTTTTCCGCCTTTTTCTTATTTCCTCATTGATTATTAGATCCTTTTGATCTTCATTCTTAATACGCCTAATATTACCCAAGTCCCTACTTTTCCTTTCTCTCATTTTAGCAAAAGCTTATATATATCTTTTTCTCCCTCTTTATATTCTAACTTTTTATATAATTTTTTATAAGCCTTGTATTTACTCTCACTAACCACTCT